AGGAAGACTCATTAATATGACTATTATTCAAATTTATGCATCAACCACCAAAGCCAAAGATGAGGAAATTGAAGATTTTTATCAACGTCTGCAGTCTGAAATTGACCAAACATGCAATCAGGATGTGTTAATTATCACTGGTGACTGGAATGCAAAAGTTGGAAACAAAAAAGAATCACAAGTAGTTGGAAAATTTGGCCTTGGTGACAGAAATAATGCTGGAACTCACATGGTAGAATTTTGCAAGACTAACGACTTGTTCATTGCAAACACCTTTTTTCAACAACACAAACGGGGCTCTACAGGTGGACTTCACCAGATGGAACACACAGGAATCAGATGACTACATCTGTGGCAAGAGGTGATGGAGAAGCTCAATATCTTCAGCTAAAACCAGGCCAGGAGCTGATTGTGGAACAGACCATCAACTGCTCATATGCAGGTTCAATTTGAAGTTAAAGACAATTAAAACAAGTCCAAGAGAGCCAAAATATGATCTAGAATATATCCCTCCTGAATTTAGAGACCATCTAAAGAATAGATTTGATGCATTGAACACCAATGACCAGAAACCAGATGAATTATGGGATGATATCAAGAGCACCATCCATGAAGAAAGCAAGAGGCCACTAAAAAGACAACAAAAGAAGAGAAGACCAAAATGGATGACAGAAGAGACTCTGAAACTTGCCCTTCAGTGGAGAGTAGCTAAAACAAATGGAAGAAATGACAAGATAAAAGAATTGAACCAAAGATTTCAAAGAGCAGCTCAAGAAGACAAAGCCAATTACTATAATGAAATGTGCAAAGACCTGGAGTTAGAAAACCAAAAGGGAAGAACACACTCAGCATTTCTCAAGCTGAAAGAATTGAGGAAAAAATTTAAGCCTTGAGTTGCAATATTGAAAGATTCTAAGGCCAAAACATTGAATGATGCAGGGAACATCAAAAGAAGATGGCAGGAATACACAGAGTCACTGTACCAAAAAGAACTGGTTGATCTTCATCCATTTCAAGAGGTGGCATATGATCTAGAACCAATGGTACTGAAGGAAGAAGTTGAAGCTGCAATGAAGGAACGGGTGAAGAACAAGGCTCCAGGAATTGATGGAATACCCATTGAGATATTTCAACAAATGGATACCACACTGGAAGCACTCACTTGGATATGCCAAGAGATTTGGAAGACAGCTACCTGGCCAACTGACTGGAAGAGATCCATATTTGTACCCATTCCAACCATAGATTGTGGAAATTATCGAACAATATCATTAATATTGCACGCAAGTAAGATCTTACTGAAAATAATTCAAAAATGGTTGCAGCAGTATATTGACAGAGAACCTCCAGAAGTGCAAGCTGGATTCAGAAGAGGACGTGGAACAAGGGATATCATAGCTGTTGTCAGATGGATCTTGGCTCAAGGCAAAGAATATCAGAAAGATGTTTACTTGTGCTTTATTGATTATGCAAAGGCATTTGATTGTGTGGATCATGAAAAATTATGGATAACATTGAGAAGAATGGGAATTCCCAAACATTTGATTGTACTCACGAGGAACCTGTACCTTGACCAGGAGGCTGTTGTTCTAATGGAACAAGGGGACACTGCATGTTTTAAAATCAGGAAGGGAGTGCATCAGGGTTGTATCCTTTCCCCATACTTATTCAATCTATATGCTGAGCAAATAATCCAAGAAGCTGGACTATATGAAGAAAAACGTGGCATCAGGATTGGAGGAAGAATCATTAACAACCTGAGATATGCTGATGATTCAACTTTGCTTGCTGAAAGTGAAGATGACTTGAGGCACTTACGGATGAAGATTGAGGAACACAGTGTGCAGTATAGATTACATCTCAATATAAAGAAGACAAAAATCCTCACAACTGGACCAATAAGCAGCTATAAATGGGGAAAAGATTGAGGTTGTCAAAGAGTTCACGTTGCTTGGTTCTACAATCAACACCAATGGAAGCAGCAGTCAGTCCATTAGACGACATGTAGCACTGGGCAGGTCAGCTGCGAAGGAACTCTTCCAAGTGCTGAGGAGCAAGGATGTCTCCTTGAGGAGTAAGGTGCTCCTGACATGGGCTATGATATTTCCAATTGCCTGGTATGCATGTGAGAGCTGGACAATGAATAAGGAAGACCGAAGAAGAGCTGATGCTTTTGAGTTGTGGTGCTGGTGAAGAATGCTGAATGTACTATGGACTGCCAAAAGAACTAACAGATCTGTCCTGGAAGAAGTGCAGCCGAGATGCTCCTTGGAAGCGAGAATGGCCAGACTTCGTCTCATCTACTTTGGTCATGTTGTCAGAGGGGACCATTCCCTGGAGAAGGATGTCATGTTTGGTAAGGTGGCAGGTCGACGAAAGAGGGTAAGGCCTTCAAAGAGATGGATTGACATGGTGGCTGCGATAATGGGCTCAAGTATAGCAAGGATCATGGAGCTGGCTCAGGATCGGGTGGTGTTTCGTTCTGCTGTGCATGGGGTCACTATGAGTTGGAAGTGACTCAATGGCACCTAACAACAACAACAACAACCTGGCATCCTCCAGATGAAGATGGTGTTGTTATTACCATTAACCACATTCTTTCTGCCACCCCCTCATCCCACTTCTGACCCTGAGCAAATCTTAACTTGAGGCAGCTTCTCCGAAGTAAATCAGAAAATCTCTCTTTAGCCCTCTTTCTGTCCTCAGGAAATCCCTTTGGGACCACTGAAGAACTAAGTCTTGGCTTCTAACAACCAGAAGAGTTTTTCCTGATGGAGGCAGAGGAGGTGTATTTGAGATGCCCATCTGTTGTTTCCTACTGTAAAACCCCTCAGAAGGTACCCAGGACTTAGAAAAGGATAACCTCCCTAATCTGATGCACAGGCCCTTCATGATCTTCCATCCTTGCTTTTCTTACCTAATGTCTCCCCATCATTCCTGTGTGTTCACCTTACCCGTCAGCCACACCACATATTCATGGTTCCCATGCTGCTCCCCACACCTAGCCAATGCATCTTTCAGGCCCCAGCTCAAAGAACAGCTAGTAATACCTAGCATTTGAGTGTTTACTATCTACCAGGTATGACCTCAGAGCTTTACATGTACCTTTATTTAATCCTCACAACAGCCCTTTGAAGTAAACACCAATATTATGCCTGTTGCACAGATGCAGAAACCAAAGCACAGAGAAGTTAAGTAACTTGCCAAGGTCACACAGCTAACAAAGTGTAGAGTCAGGATTCAAGTCCAGGCCATACTTCTAACCACCATACTATATTGCCAGCTCAAATACTCCTTATTTTGAGAAATGTCTTTTATCCCTTAAATATCTTCTGTGTTACAACATTACTGGGTATAAAACCACCATCACATTTATCACCTTGTAACCTTCAGCTTTGGGTCTCTGGATATATACTTTGCTGGAAAGGAGGTCACATACAATCAGTGTCCATGGCAGACCTTCTGTGACCATCACTGGAGTCTGTGGTTATTCACAGGCCAGAGAGTAGGCGGCCACAGAGCCGAAGAAACACTGCCAGGTAGTTTCAACCAAAACTTCAGACATACTCGATGAAAATCTGCCAACCAGAAGTATGTAAACAAAACAGGAACCTTGCTGAAATTCACTTTGCAGTTTCTATTTTACATTAGAGCAAATAGATTCTATTCACTCTTTTTCATTTTTCAGAAGTTCTTGTTTTGCACTCCCACACAAAGGAAAAATAGAGTGACAAAGTTCATTGTTGTTCAGTTGAATGCCCAATCTGTACACGCATCTGGCCATGCTTACCCAAGACACCAAACGTTCTTCCCTCCCTCTCGTATCCCATCTTCTTGGAATGGTTGTTTACACCCACTGGCTCCACTTTTTACCTCCTGCTTCCTTTAAACCCACACTGAACTGGAAGATCTCCAGATGTTAAATCTGATGGATACCTTTCAGGTCTAGTCTTTCTAGCTCTTCAGGAGCACTAGATGCAGTTGGCCGGGCAGCCAGTGGGCTCTAGGGACTTAGGGCTTCTACCAGAGTATTTCCACACCACTTGGCCCCACTGTAAACTAAAAATAACAACAACAACAAAAAAAAACCTCACTGCCATCGAGGTGATTCCGACTCATAGCGACCCCCTTTGAGTTTCCAAGGCAGAAGTAGATTGCCCAGTCTTCCTTCCATGGAGTGGCTGGTAGGTTTCAACGACCAACCTTCTGGTTGGCAGTCAAATGCCATAGGCACTATGCCATCAGAGCCCCACTGTAGGAGATTTATATAGCTTTTTTTTTTGTAATCAGTTTGTTTCCTTACCCAAAGGTCAAATACCAATCTGCCTAGTACAAAACTGGTCTCCTGGTGACTGGAGCTGAATCTAACATCCCCTTCCCATAGAACATGGGACCCTCACAGCAGACGTGGTGGTGTCATTGGTTGTGACCATAAACGAGTATGTTTAGGGAGGTGAGGTCAATGAAGTCTGAGATGGACTGGCTTGATCAGGGAATGGGAATAAGAAATCCTGTACTCTTGGGTGGAGCCATAGAGTTAAACTTGTGGCCTTATATACTTTAGGACAGAATCATCTTCAAAATAAAAATCCCATGCAGTGCCTTGCAAAGAGTGGTTAACAATTCCTGCTTATTGAAGAGAATTGAATACAGAAAACAATGGTTACGATTTATTAAGAGTTTCCTGTTACAATGTGCTTTAAATACCCAAATCAAACCCACTGCTGTTGAGTTGATTCCAACTCATAGTGACCATAAGTGCTTTATGAATGATTTTTACTTTTCACAACTTAAGAGGTAGTTATTATTATTTTCAACATCCTTCTACAAATGAGGAAAATGGTGCTTAGAAAGATGACCCAAGATATCTCAGCGGCAACTGGGAATGGGGAGGGCAGACTTTAGGGAAATTTGATTGGTCAGCTCCAGGATCTGGCTACTCTAACCAATCAGCTGCACCTTGAAGTAAGGGATCCCACCTTCTTGTGGATGCTTGTTACCTGGTTGGGCCAGAGGCCGCTCCTGGTTCAGGATGTTGTAGCTCTTCCAACTGTACTGAGGGGCCGGTGAGCCCTCCTTTGATTGGCAGGTGAGCTCAATGTTGTTCCCAATCACAGTCTCTCCATTGATGCCGCAGTCTGGCTTGGATGGTGGCACTGTAGGCAAGGGGCCAAAGAGAAGACATGAATCAGGTGGGGTGTGACAATAACCATTTCTCCAAACATACACACATTCTGCCTTGCTTGTTCACAATCAGAGGAATTCATAGCTTAGTGGTGACATGTAAAACTGAAAGATCAATCCACCCCCAAAATATCTTTCCAGTGGCCTATCACCATCACAGAGAGCTGGCATGTGTGGGAAGCATCTTGAGTGGGCAACTAGTTTTTTGAGGTGTGGTTTAGAGCCATAGGACATCACCCTTGAAAAGGTGGGGACACTGAGACCCAGACAGGAGATTATTCAAGCATCCTGGCAGAGCTAGGACTAGTACCAGAGGTCTCTCCACCAACTCATAACAGCTCCTTCTGCCATTGATTTATCTGCATATTGTAGGTAAATCCTTCCATTTCTCTGGACCTCAGCATTCCTATCTGTAAAATGAGGGGACAACAAGCTTTTTCTGTACAGGGCCAGACAGCATATATTTCAGGCTTTGTGAGTCACATATGGCTCTGTCACTGCTGCCTCTCTGTCTTCTCCTCCTTTTTAAATAGTCCTTTAGAAATGTAAAAGCCATTCTTGGTCCGCAAGCCATACAAAAACACACTATAAGCAGGATTAGGCTGTAGTTTACCTACCCCTTGGTTAAATGATCTCTTATTACTGTTGGGTGCCTTCAAGTTGATTCTGACTCATAGCTATCTCATATGACAGAGTAGAACTGTCAAGTAGGGTTTCTTAGGCTCTAATCTTTACAGAAGCAAACTGTCACATCTTTCTCCCATGGAGCAGTTGGTAGGTTCAAACCATTGACTTTTCAGTTACTAGTCAAAGCACTTAATCACTGCACCACCAGGGCTCCTTATGATGAGTATAAACAAAACAAAAGAAAACAACTCATTGTCATGAATTGAATTCCAACTCAGTGACTTATAGGACAGAGTAGAACTGCCTCATAGGGTTTACAAGGCTGTAAATCTTTACATAAACAGACTGTGAATATCACATTTTCAGGAGCTTTGAATTGCATGCACATGTCAAGGGATCTAGAAGATGGTGCAGAGTCCAGAAGAATATATGTGACCCATAATCCTACCCCCCAAGTCCAGAGGGACATATATGTCCCATATAATTTTACATCCAGAGTACTGTGCCCCATATAATTATGTCCCAAGAGTCCAGCAGGACATAGTGTCATTGTAAAATTATCAAAATCCTATTTCATAAGAAATTTTCAGAAATGCTTCTTGATTCAGCATGCATTCCATTAATGAAAACATGTGGTATTGACAAAAAACATTCAAAGCAAAAAAAAAAAAAAATGGTTTTAATAGACAAATCCTTCCTTCCACCACCCATCTGTCATACTATGGCGGCTTGCATGTTGCCGTGATGCTGGAAGCTATGCCACCATTATTTCAAATACTAGCAGGGTCACTCGTGGTAGACAGGTTTCAGTAAAGTTACCAGATTCAGACTAGAAAGAAGGGCCTGGTGATCTACTTCTGAAAATTAGACAATGAAAACTTTATGGATCACAAAAAAAACATTGTTTAACTCGCTTGCTTTGTACAAGTCATCAAAAAAGATCAATAGCTAGAGGAAAGATATCATGCTTAGTGAAGTAGAGGGCCAACGGGGGTGAAGGACCCCCTTGGTGAGATGGATGGGCACAATAGCCGCGACGGTGGACTAGAACCATCTGGTGATCATGAAGATGATGCTGGTCCAGGGAACACATTTTTCTGTTGTACCTGAGGTCACCATGAGTCACAGCTGACTTTCAGCATCTATTATCTATCTAAAGCCTTCATTCCGCAATTAGAAGCTGGCCTAAAATAAAATACCTGAAAAATCCCACAGCAACTCCAATTCATACTAAATGAGAATGACTGATAGTAGAGCTTTCTATGACCATATTTCTCTGGGATAAGAAGGGAAGGGAAGTGACTGTGAGGCTAGGGAGCATATAGACAAGCATAAAAAAGCAAGCTGAACATATTAGAAAAACATCAAATCCTTAATTCACTCCAGAGGCAGAAGTAGAGATAATGACAAGCAAGGGACCAACCTACCCTCAGGGAGACCCTTGTGAACTTGACCCCTTTAGGGAGAAACGTGTCAGGTTCTTAGGGCCCTCAGACCCTTAATGTCAGCCCGCAAACTCCCTTCACCTCATGCCAGGAATGCCCTGCCCTCATTCTGTCCAGATTCCTCACTGAAAGTCTCTCTCTTCACCCTCCCCAATCAAAAACAGCACAGACTTTCATTCAGACAGACCTAGTTCATGCAGAGCTTCGGGGGCTAACACTTCCAGAGCTTCACCTAGATCTCTGATTCTCAGTTGCCTTGTCCTACCTCCCAAGCAGAATGCCACCTGCATATTTATTGAGGGAGGAGTGGTGGAGGGGGACTTGATTGGCTCTAGAGCCTCTCCACATCCCTCTGCTCAGGATGCTGTGCCCAGGCGTCTGCAGAGCTCCGCCGGGGTGAGCACGAAGACTGTGACTCCAGCTCATGGCGCCAAGGGGCGCCAGAGGCCGGAAAGATGACTGATTTGCCCGGAGGCGCGGAGGCCCGGTGGGAGGGTTTGCTGGCTTCCCTGTCGCAGCTACGATGAGCGCTCCGCCGAGGCGGGGCTGCCTCCTGTCTGGAAACTCCCTGCTAGCCCTGTTTACTGTGAGGTTACCCAGCCCGCGTGGGTCAGCCCCGCGTAATTTAAGCTCTTGTGCCTAAAAATAGCTGTTAAGTCATTTGGAGTGATTTTTTTTTTTAAAGATTTTTACTGAATTTCTTAACATACTGGATTTCTTAATTTCTCTCTCTCAAAGAAAACACTGGTTTCACTGACTTCCATCATCTTAAATCCTTCCTTCATCCAGTTAATGAGATTCTCACTTAAAGTTAAGCTGGCTCCGAGAGAGGAGGAAACGAACCTTCATTCAGGTGAGCCCCTGCCTGCCTCCTCCCTCTCAACTAGCTGAAACGAGTTACCAGAAGGGAATGGGAGCTATTTAAGGTATGCCGGAAGGAGGCAGAATTAGCCAGATGGGAGAAGTCATGAACCCAGCCAGAGACAAACTGAGGCAATGGACAGAGAGGAGAAAGCAGTGCAGGAAGGAAAGCAAGATAAAAACGCTTGGTAATCTCTCTCCTGAAGTATATTTCAAGGAACTCATGCAAATAAAAAGTTGCTGCAACACTGTAGTAACTTTAACTGGAGATAGCCTAAGTGTCCAGTCCAGGGGTAGGGCAGTCTGTGCATCCACTTGACGGAGTGGTTGCACAGCTTGAAGGGGAGTAAGTAAAGGCAGGCAGGAAATGTGATGTGAGGTGGACTGAAAAGACAGAAGTACCATCTGGTCAGACTACAGATACAGTTATGTACATAAATAAATGTCTAGACAGAAGCTGGTCGAAAATCCTGAGAAGTGGAAAACATAGTGTGAGTAATACAGGTGAATGCTTTTCTTTTTTAGTTTATTATTATCATTATTTAATTCACATTTTTAAAGAGAGAAGGAGACACCAACCACAACTATTTGCTTATTTGCTTGTGTTTGAATTAAAAAAAAAAACTCACTGCCCTTGAGTTGGATCCAACTCATAGTGACCCCTCCTTGGGTTTCCGAGGCAGTATCACTAAAGAAGTGGATTGCCCAATCTTCCTTCCAAGGAGTGGCTGGTGGGTTTGAACCGCCAGCCTTCTGGTTAGCATTGCCAAAGACTGCTAAAATGGGATAATGGGAGGGCAGAGCTGAAATAGGCTCCACTCAAGCAACTTTCTATGCATGAGAAATCCTGACCTAAGGACCCCTCCACAGACAGGCAGTGCTCCTGATTCAATAGAGCAGGGCAGAAAAACTGATCACAGCACTCCAGCCCTTGCCCTTCCCTACCTAGAATCTAGGGGTAACTAAAACATGGCTGAAAACATGCTCTAAGAGGATAAAGGGAGATGGTGATTGGCTTGTCTGTTATATTGTTGTTAGTTGCTGTCTAGTCAATTCTGACTCATGGTGACCCCATGTGTGCAGAGTAGGACTGCTCCATGCATTTTTAAAAGCAGATCGCCAGCCTATCTTTTGAGGTGCCTCTGGATAGGTTTGTGCATTCAACTGTTGAGCTAATGCACTATAATTAGCAGATTAAATTAATAGAAACAAACGCAGTTTTGATTGTTTATTTTCTGATTACTGGGGGAATACCAAACTCGATGCATGACTTCTTGAGCATGGCTTATATCTTTATTATACAATTATGATCAAAAGTAACATTTTCAGGCTATTTTTATCCACATATGCAGGAGATTAAAGAGGAGGTGGAAATGTTCCCAAAGCTCCAAGATCATCAGAGCTCCCATTACAACACTGAAACAACTGCCCATGCATTGGTAAGGTTGGTCTCAGATGCCCTAAGCAATGACTGTCAATGTAGAAGAACAGCTGTAGAATGCTCAGTTATCAATGAGTGATAGATCAGGATGCACATGTGGTTTAGCAAAGGGGTACATCCAGGGCTGGCAACATTTTGCCCCTCCAACCTTCTGCTGGAACTCATGCCGGAACTCAAGTTAATGCCATGGCAGACAAAATCTAATTGGCAAGCTTACATCCACTACAGAGTGAAAGAGAGGCTCTATTTCAAAGTTAAGCAAATCTAAAAGAGTTTGGTGATCAGCCTGAATTGGAGTAATTGCTCTTTGGGAATGGTGGCATTATTTGGTAGAATGAAGAAGAGCTTTGGATGTAGATAGACTCTTTTCCATCCCAGCTCGGACAATTTCTAGTGGTCATTTGACCTCTTGAAACTCACTGTTCTCGTCTATTAAATATGGATATTAATCTCCACTTTTACAGATTTACTGTAAAGACATAACATAATATTGGTAAAGTACTTAATGAGATACTCAGCACATGGTTTTTTCCACAAATAATGTGGACATTACACATTTTTTGCCAACTGTGCAAACCTCCTCTGTGTTATTTTCATA